GAATGAGTAAGTATATTGTTTAAATTTAGAAGTATCTTGTTATAAGGTTTTCTATATGTTGCACGGTAATATATGTACACAATTAACACACACACATATAAGTCAATACACATAATTTTCTGTGCCCCGAAAAGAGTATTTACTTGTGATAGAGTCCTAGAATTGAAAAGTGTTAGAGAGTTAATACAACTCCCGCTTAAATGCGGCTACTTCGTGGCAAGATTCTATAATGAGTGCTTCCCAGTGTAGAACGGTGTTTGGAGTGAAAATGGTAATATGCCCATACGGTAGCACTAGCCAGCTCTGAGTATCGGACTTGGGAAATGGGTAGTGGCTGAGCAATTGGAAATTTATCTTTAAAGTGTTAATTAAATTTATTGTTGTATTTATTGTGTTGAGAGGGGAGACGTCAGCTCGTCGCCAGTTGGAGGCAGTGGCGCGTCGCTGCTCACTGGGCAACCGTACACTTCTGGAGTTCCAGCCATGCTCCGGCTCAGCGTCGCCCGAGTAGCTGGGGGAATGACAGGGCGCCACCACCATACCCAGGTAGTTGTTTTGTGGTAGAGATGGGATGGCACATGTGTCGCGCTTGTCTGATCTCTGGCCTCGGGATCTGCCCATGCTTCGGCGGCCAAAAGTGCTGGGATTGGACTGCGGAGCCCACGGCTGTCTAGGTGGACCACTGTAGAAGAGACGAGTGGCCAGTAGGCTGCCGCGGGGGATACGGAGTGGCAAGTAAGAAGCGAATGATTGCGCGGCGCACATTGTCCGAGTTGGAGGGAGGGATGAGATGCGCGAACGGGTCTCGAGCGCGGGTAGCGGACTGCATTTAGAAAGAAGAACTCCTTTTCGCAATTGCAGCTCGGTGATTAGTGAACTTGAGGCATAGTTTTGGGAGCATAATTACATCATCCATACATGAGGAAAATTGTTAAATAAATATTTGCTTCCATACTATAGAACAGTATGCATCTATTGGAAGCAATAACCTAAATCACAGAACTACTTACAATATGTTGTTCACTTTTTTTAAAAAAATAGAGACAGGGTCTCACTATGTTACCCAGGCTTGTCTTGATCATCTGAGCTCAAGTGATACACCCTCCTCACTTCCCAAAGTGCTGGGTTTATAGGTGTGAGGCACCACTCCTGTCCCCAATATGTTGTTCACTACAAAGGACAAGGGTAAAATAATATGAATAGTATATACTTATTTATTTATTTGAACCATTTTATTAAGGTATGATTCACATGTAAAAAGTTGTACATATTTAATGTATTTACATCTCAGTGAATTGGGGGATAAATATATACCTGTGAAACCATCACCATATCACCATTATCAAGGCCATGAACATAGCCATCATCTCCAAAGTTTCCTTGCACCCTCTTTATCATTATTGGGGTGTGTGTGTGTGTGTGTGTGTGTGAATACAAGAAATTGACCCTGTTAGTAAATTTTAAGTATACAGTACAGTATTGTTGGCTATCGGCAGGCACCGTACTGTATTATGGATGTCTAGAAGTTGTTTATCTTGCACAACTGAAACTTTGTACCCTTTGACCACCACCTCATTTCATCCTCCCCCCAGGACCTGGAAACTACCATTCTACTCTCTGCTTCTATGACTTTGACTATTTTATTCCACATATAAGTGAAATGATACAGTATTCATCCTTTTGGGTATGGCTTATTTCACTTGGCATAATGCCTTCAAATATTACACAGTTTCTATACTTGTAAAGACATATCAAAAAATGGAGAAAGAATTACATTTAGTAGTCACATCTGCGGAGGGGAGTGTATTAGACAAGCATGCAGGGTTGGAGGATAATGGAGGCTTTCATTTGTTACTCTATTATCATTCAGGGTTATTCATATCCTTTGTGATACACATGTATAATTTCCATAAATAAAGAGAAATATGTCAAAGCAGGCTATTTACACAAGGCTTGGGGTCCAACATTCAGATGCTACACATCTGTGTTTAGCACACAGATTGTATTGTAGCAGTGGGAATTGATCAATTAGTGTTTTTCTTCAAGAAATTCTATAACAGCCCAAAGAAAAATGGTACAGAGATGAAAATGATGATTTGATTAAATAGAATAGATCCAGAAGATATACTCCAATTGCCCTCCCCAATTTAGGCTGCTGGGTGTTGCTTGAGAAAATCAAATTAATTTACAGATAGGAAACTGCAATTTCTGGTTTCCAACCTGAATTAGGCCCTCAACACACTTGGTGATACTTTTGTTTTTCCCTAGTCCACTGTCTCCTGAGCTCTCTTCTTCATCTCTTTCAGCTCTGTCATCCCTACACTCCCAGCAGCTGACGTCACAGAGAAAGCCGAAGCCTTCTGACTAGCTCTCCCTTATTTTCTCACTGCACTCATAGCTTCATTGCCTGCTACCCTGCTGTCTGCTCCACCCCTGCCTCCTGCTCTGCTGCCCCCAAGGAGGATCTCGCTGCGTCATCACCCAACCTCTCCTGGAGGCTGAGCAAGGCTCCAGCAGGGACTCTTTCCTCTAACAAGCCCTCTTTCTACCACATGGTTCCCAAGCTACTTTCTTACCTTTTCTCTCTCCTTCACCCAATTTATTGAAAGTGCAGTCTAGGTCTGTGATCTCCTCTTTCTAACCTCCAATTTACATTCCAACCTCCTGGTATGTGGCTTTGCTCATCAGCAATTCCCCGAAACAGGGTGCACTAAAGTTTCTATGGCCTCCTTTGTGCTCATTGCAGTGTTTCTGGAACTTTCCTCAGCGTTTCACCTGTTGGTCATGACATCGTTCAT